AGAGAGAGAGAGAGAGAGAGAGAGAGAGAGAGAGAGAGAGAGAGAGAGAGAGAGAGAGAGAGAAGGGGCACCCGACGAACGTGCAAAAGGAGAATGAACTTTCCTACATGTCAGAGAAGATTCTTTCTCATTTTGCTGTTTCATGGTGAGAGAGAGAGAGAGAGGCCCGGCGATTTCGACACGGCAACTCTCTCTCTCTCTCTCTCTCTCTCTCTCTCTCTCTCTCTCTCTCTCTCTCTCTCTCTCTGTGCGCAGTTCTAATTTGCAAAACGGGAATGAATCTTCCCAGGTTTGCGGGAAAATTCATTCCCATTTTGCAAATGACTACTTCGCAGAGGGGGGGGGGGGGGGGGGAAGAAGTCACAGAAAAGAGAGAGAGAGAGAGAGAGAGAGAGAGAGAGAGAGAGAGAGAGAGAGGGACCGCAATTTTGATGCGGCAACTCTCTCTCTCTCTCTCTCTTCGGTCTATCCGTCATTTCAGGAGTGTCGGTTCTGTGCACACCAAAGTGTTAACGATCATCGGCACTATGGTGGCAAACATGTATGACATACGCGAGTTACCCGCCGTAATGGAATTATGTTGTACGGAACTCAAAACTGTTGGAATACCCGTGTTCGGCGATTTTGGCCTTCTCAGTAATTGTAAAGACAACATGATGCGTAAGGTCTTCGTCAAATTTCTGGAAAAGGAAGACAGAAAAAAATGGTAAAATGAAACGTAATTACTAATTAGCAAGCAGACAAAATGAATCAAAAAAAAAAAAAAAAACACCTTGAATTTCTGCTGAAACATAAATCAACATGATGACCTTCTGCCGAACAAATTTCCTCAAAGAACCAAGAACTAAGGAACCCAAGAATCACGCATATAAATCATACGCAAAAACAGGAGATATAACCACATAGCAGTCACACCGAAGAAAGAAAGTACCATGCGAGTCATGGAACCGTGCAGACCAAATACCAAGAGTTTAATTGGTTTTCATCAAATAAAGTTTAATAAACTCGTGATATTCCATCGACGTATTTAAAATATAAAATATATAAAATTGACTGTTTTAAAAGGGCCTTTACCCGAAATAGGCCTCAGGCCTTGTCAAAGTAACGCAGCACAGACCTTGTAAAGGTAAAGCACTGTGAAAAGGTATCCCGCCAGGGCTCAGAAACGTGAAAGCAGGTCAAAGGTCAAGTTCTCTATCAACAGGCACATCTAAAGCTAAGGCAAAGGGCATTGTCAAAAGACTTACCTGTTCACCAGGAGATGTGTATGTCATGTCTGTTCGGGTAAGAGTGTGTCTGTACGTCCAGGCAGTGTACCTGTTCGTGCAAAGTAAAGTGTCTGTTCAAGCAGTAAATGTGTCTGTTCGTTGAGAGTTGTGCCTGTCCGAAAGTAAAGTCAATAGGCACAGTCCCAGTTCTGGTTTAAG